CAACCTCCAACCAATTAGCAACAGCTAACCAAATATTAAAAGCCATTGGACACATTAGAAAGAGATGAAGAGGGTCTTCGACAAACAGAGAGCAAAGAGAGCATAAATTGTTATCCAACTCCACACCACGAACTTGTAACAATGATTTGCATGGGAATGCATTCATGAACACCTGCCAACAGAACACCAAGCACTTGATCGGAGCCTTGCATTTCCAAATACTTTTTATGACTAGGTGAAAATCTGAGGAATATCTAAGTTCTCCACCTAGCGAGCGCTGCAGCCAAAGGTACGCACTTTTCACTGAGAATACACCATCCTTATCACAAATCCACTCCAATGATCTTGCTTAGAAGAGAAAATTTGCAGACCCTGAAGCATTTCCAACAAGGTATTCACACTCCTTACTTCATGGACAAAAGGTTCTCTTCTCCAATTAACCTGCCACACCCACCTAGATCCCTCCCAAGTTCCATTATGCCCCACCATTGACAACGGATCAAAGACAAAGGAGTACAAACGAGGAAAGACATCCAACAAGCGCAAACCACCTATCCACTTATCCTCCCAAAATCGGGTCGTAGTGCCATCTCCAATACAAAGTTCAATCTTTTCATCCAACCAAAAATTTCCTTGTTGTAGCACCCACACTATATCCTTTCACCACCAAGAAGCCCTCCTATCCACATTTGAGCACTTAAAAAAGGACTCAATGTGCCCATACCTACCATGAAGAACCTTAGCCCACATCATACCTGGAGATAACAAACACCTCCACACCCATTTCCCTAGTAGTGCCCAATTCAACAATTTGACATCCTTGATTCCTAGTCCACCCTCATCCTTTGACTTACACACCGTTTCCCATTTTACCCAGGGAATCTTTGAGCCATCCTTGGCACCTCTCCACAAGAAATCACGTTGGATGGCCACAATTTCCTTAATCACCGAGTTCGGTGCTTTAAAAAATGACAGAAAATGGATGGGCATTGCATTCAAAACTGAATTAATTAAGGTCACCCTCCCCCCAATGGACAAATGCCTATGCTTCCAGGAGGATAGACGCTTACGTAAGCCATTAAGTATTGGTCTCTAAGTAGCCAACTTCTTAGGGTTTGCACCAAGAGGTAAGCCCAAATGCTTAAACGGTAGTTGACCCACCTTACAATGCAAAAAAGAAGCCGCCAAATCAATAAAATCTACCCCTGAGTGAATGCCAACCACGTAACTCTTGTGAAAGTTAATTTTCATACCTGAAATTAACTCAAAACAACGCAATATGGCCTTTAAGCACCACAAATTCTGCATAGTAGCTTCTCCAATTATCAAAGTATCATCAGCGAACTGCAAAAGAGAAATTGGTGAACTTTCACCACCCAAGTGTAATCCCGTAAATAGATTCATATCTAAGGCCCTAGTCATCAACAATCTGAGACCTTCTGCAACAATTAGGAACAAAGATGGTGCTAATGGATCTTCTTGCTTTAATCCCCTACTAATAGCTACTTCCGCCGTGGGACTCCCATTCACAAGGGCTGATAGACTACCCCCACATACACAGTCATCAACAATCTGAGACCTTCTGCAACAATTAGGAACAAAGATGGTGCTAATGGATCTTCTTGCTTTAATCCCCTACTAATAGCTACTTCCGCCGTGGGACTCCCATTCACAAGGGC